CGGAGTGCAGGGCCGGGGCTCTGGCTCAGCAGGCGGTTATGGTGGTCCACGCGGCCAGCTAGACCGCAGGCCGTGGTACCCAGAGGTCTGGCAAACCACTGTTCTGGGAGTCGCTGTGAAGGCATCTATTTTGAAGAGGAAACATTTAACCTGCACACCTGGAGGAAAGGGTGGACCTTGTACAAGCAGAGGCTGGACTCAGAGGCATACTGACCTCCTGGGAGAGGGGGTTCTGCCAGCTCCTGGCCCAGACTCAGGCTGCGGTTTGTCCAGGCCTCTGGCTACCACCCTTTCTGCAGAACGTGGTCTCATCAGCCTTCTCTCCAGGTGAGTCAGTGCCTGAAATCTCTGTGCCTCTCTCTCTGTCTTTCCCTGAGGGGCATGTGTGTGTGTGTGCAGGTGTGCTCATGTGATATTCAAGAAACCTCGATAACATAGCAGCCGATGAGGAAATGCCATGTGAACAGGTGTTGTGGAGGTAGATATACGTGTCTAGAGGGAGGGCCAAGCATTACTCTTGAATCCAAATGACTCTATAATGCAGACACACTTAGGGTGGTGTGGGGCCCATCACTGCAGATGCCAGGCATGTGCGCACACACACACACACACACACACACACACACACACACATACACACACACACGGCTACCCTGCAGATGAGTGTCAGGTTCCTCTAGAAGCTGCACATCTCCCAATAGGAGGATTTCTGCCTCCTGGGAACTCGGAAGGCTGACAGATGTTGGCCCCACCGTTTCTTCAGCCAACGACTAGAAGATGGGGTCACGGGCAGGGGAGTCTCCCTTGGCACTGCAAGCTCTGCAGACAGGTGGGATGGAGCTTCCGGAGTGTGGAGAGTCCCATTCCCGGTCTCCCTGAAACACGTGAAGGCTGTGCAAACAACTGGGCCCTGGCCCTGTACACTGACCCTGTGCCCACCTTGTCCAGGTGAAGAGACACTGGCAATTCTCCTGGCTGGGCCTTCAGCGGAGAAGACAGCTGCTGACAGCAGAGTTGTGAAGAGGGAGGAGAGGCTGGGCTGTGGCCCACGCTCTTCCCCTCTCCTCCTTGAAGCCAGGAATGTCTCTGATGCTTAGAGAGTCCTGGGTAGCTGGGCCTGCACACCTACCTGATGGTGCTCTCTGCAGCCTGTGGCACTAGGCCGTGGGCTTCTCAAAGGACAGGTTGATGGACTTATTAAGTGGCAGCTTCTGATGGCCCCAGCCTCGGGAGAGAGGGGCTTTTCTACATAACAACTTTAATTATGAGAAAAAGTCAAGCTACTTTCATGAAAGAAGGGAAAAGAGCAGGAACTTGCCCAACTGAGGCTTTCATCTTCTCATGAGCACCTGGGCCTGGCTCTGTCAGTGGGGACAGCATGGGCTGAGTCACTGCAGATGTGGTGAGCACAGCAGCCACACTCTGGGGAAGGGAAGGCCATGGAGCTATGGCCCTGTGATGAACTTCCTCCAGTGAACTGCGCTGCTAAGCTGCACTGGGCTGTTGACCTCTGGAGCTCCAGACTCCATTCTGCTGCTGAGGTCACAGTGGAGACAGTGGATGGGCTAATGCTGGGCCCTATAAGTTGATGACAGAACCAAGCAGCTCCAGCCCTGCTAGGGTTTGGATCTGGAGCCCCACAGTGGCTTGGTCCCCAGGATGGGACTGCCTCCTGGGGCCTTGATGTCACTGGGCACGAACCCTTGAAAGAGACCAGCCCAGGACACCCTGGGTCCCTCCGCCCCTTCTTCTACCTCCTGGCCATGAGGTGAGCAGTTTTGCTTCACCATGTGCTCCTACCACACTGTGCTTAGAGCAGGGGGCCAATGGCTTATGGACTGTGATGACCAAAACTGTGAGCTAAAATAACTTTTCTCTTCATAAGGTAATTGTCTCAGGTATTTTGTTACGGTGACCAAAAGCTGACTCAAACACACCTATACATGGTCACAGACAGGAAATCACATGCTCACATTCCCAATCTCTCTCTCTGTCTCCCCCTCCCTACATTCTCCCCCCGCCCCTCTCTCATCTCCGCATGGCCAAGATCAGAGAGGATACAGCATGGTTCATGATGTTGGATCCAGCAGAGATAGTGGCCCTGACCCCTAACTGTCAAGGAGGAGAAAAGCAACTGGCAGGAGACTTACTAAGAGGTACTATATGGATTGGCTTCTTGGTTCCACGGGCTGTGTGTGTGAGCCTGAAATCCACAGGCCAGCCAGTGGAAAGGGCAGGCTAGCACTCTAGGCTGCAGGGTTGGGATGGGTTCCACACTTAGGACTTCTTCTTCTTCAGGGAAACCTAGGCTCTTAAATCCTTCCAAAGGACTGGATCAGTCCATGGAGATGATCTAGGATGATTCCCCCTTCCGTAAAGTCACATAGAGTAGAAGTTAATCACACCTATAATATTCCTTCTGGTCACCTGGGTTGGTGTCTGAGCTAGTAATGGAGCTGCAGCCTGGCCAGTACAAATCATAGTGACCATCTCGGTGTTCAGTTTAAATATCATTCCCAGCTGCTTGAGCCCAGGGATCTGCTGGGAGTACTTGTCCACTGAAGCCAATGAGGGTCTGGTGGGAACAATGTCCCCCTGTAAATGCCTGAACAGTAAAATTAGAGCTGAGCCTAGATCCCTGCTTACAGAGGAGTCTTGGAATACTCTCTCCACAGCCCACAACCAGGACAACATCAGGGTGCTAGGAAAAGGGAGGTTAAGATATTTTTAATTATTTTTATATGCTAGAAGTAGTTCATGCCAACTTATATTGATTGAATTCTGTCACCACTGGACATGTGTAAGTCACATCTAGTGTGAGCAGTGTTTCCACAGCTTGCTTAGAAGCAGTGCTTCTCACGTAGGTGAGGCACTGGGTCTCTATTAACCTATGAGGATGTCACATCACACCCTCCACAGATCAGCATCCAGAGACATGGAAATGGGGAGCTCCTCAGCCCATGTCTTCAGCTGGTATCCCAGCTGCTCTGTTTTAGGGCAGCTGCCAATGTAACCTTGCCAGGCGTGATTATTTGTACGCTGCAAGCTGGGTCCTCTTTAAGCTTGGTGAGTGTAAGATCATTTCTCTGCAAATCATGTTACCTGTTTAATATTTGATGCTTTATAAACTGAATTCCATTAAACTCAATATTGAATTAGAAAAGGAGCACCTTCTCATAGACCTGCACTCGCTCCGGTGTGCACAGCCTGGATAGCACCCTTGGGTGAAACCCATGTCCGTGCTTCATGGAGAAAGTTCCTCACCAAACCTGGAGCTGGCCACTGCGAGCCTCTGAAATCAGCCTTGGAAACAGCTCGGAACATTAGCTTGAAAGGTTCTTATCACTTTCTCCTCACTCTGACCTCTCTTTTACAGTGAGGAGGGTTTATGTATATGTGTTCTGCGTATTACATTAGTACATGTTTATTATTATTTGTACTTTTTCCATTTAAATAGTTGAAAAATTTCTGAGGAGCTGTAATAACAAAACCTGTAAGACCTAGAATGAGAAATAGGATAGGAAGTGATATATCACTATGTTCTGGGACAAAGTCTACACTGTGCACTGGAAGGGCTTTAGAAGAAGAGCATTTGATTTGAGGAAGATTGTACACTTCCAGGTGATCGTGAACTTCATGGCTCAGTCCAGTGAGAATGCTACCTTGCTTCCTTTGTTCCAAGTTTCCACATGGAAGGACAGTAAATAGGGTAACACTCCCACCCCTCTCTCATTCTGCTCAGGGAAGCAGTGCTAGCCAGACTTCCTGACTTGGGAGAGTTGTTTGGATTTATCTTCTTGGCTCTTTTCTCTTGTCTGCTCAAAGAAGCCTGTTTCAAGTACATGCTTAACTTTCCTGCACCCCTGAGAGCTGCAAGAGACAAGGAACACCATATTTTCCCTTTAAATGCTGTCCCTTTACAGGGACGATGGGCAGGGTAGGAGGGCAGGGAGCATGGTTATCTGTTGTCATAGATGGCCGCAAGTCTGTCGCTGTCACAAACCCAGCCATATTCCCCAAAGCTTCGTCAGGAATAACCCTGATCTTTGGATCTCTATTAGCTCATACCGTTATTTCTTGGTTGGGACCATATTCAGTTAGCAGGAGAGAGTGTCACATATATGAAAGTCCTCAAACATCAATCCACCGCTTTGCAGAATCTTTGTCATTGAAATGCATACTCCGTCATAGAAATATGTCACCATCCTGCACCACTATGCCCTTCTTTATCCTTCTTTGTTTAATTAAAAGCACTTTGTTTGGATGTTAGCCAACTTCTTGTGCAGGTTTCTTGTATTTAGCACAGGAGATAAAGGTATATTTTTAATTACACTGCTATTCCTTGAGTAACTCAGTAAAGCTTCCTAAAACCAGCATGGCCAGCTGTATCACATCCTCCCTGGTAAACCTCTCTGATCCATGGGAGATATGTTTGGAAAGGTTCTGTGGATATTTCAGAGCAGAGATGGTCTCAAAGCCAGTAATACCATGTTTTTGTTATACATAAGTGCCTACATAATATAAACTTTAACTTATGAATGAAACACATAAATGGATTAAGAAAAAAGCTAATAATAACTAAAAATTACAATATGCTACAATAAAAGTTACTTAGGACTTCTGAATTGTTTATCTCTTGGATTTTCAACTTAATATTTGCAGAACCTGGTTGACTGTAACTGAAGTCACTGACAAGCGACACTACTGTATTTTGAGTCTGCCCAGTTTTTCTTGGATTCCATGGCCAGGACCTCTTGTTCTATGGCTTCACCTACACAGGTGTCCACACAGTACCAGTTCCAGCCATCTCAGGATCTGGTTTTATCATTGTGTCCCAAGTTCCTGGTTCCTCTTTCTTGTGATCTATCCTGATTGCTGCTGTATCTCTTGTGGGATTCATAGAAGTTTGCATGAGAGATGGATTTGTAAAACTCTTGCATACAGTCTGCACTCGCAATTGACTGGGAGCTTAAGAAGTGTTTTCTTTAATTGGATATCAATTTTCATCAGAAATTTGAAGGCCATAATTGTTTTTGTCTTTCTATGTTAATTCGTGCTATTGACAGCATATGTCTCCTTGGTCCTTATTCTTTGCTTCTTACTCTCTGCGAACGTTAAGAATCTTTGCTGTAATCCTGGAATCTTCAGAGGTCAGGCTGCTTTCCTGGTGGGGGAACCTTTGTTCCTCACAGTTAGGTACAGAGACCCCTGCTGTTCAGCTAGTGAGGACACCAGAGTTCTTCTAGGAAACTGCTGAGATCACCACACATCTGCTGTTTTCTCATTCCAGTCACCACAAGCCCACAGGTGCTGTTTGATTCTAGAAAGAGAATAATATTTGCACTCATTTATAAACAAACATGTTCTCAGGTATTCGCTGGATTTACTGTGTTGTGTTGGGTTTGGATCAAGAGGTAAGGTATCCTTCAGTCTTCAGTGCAGAGATGGTGTCACCTTCACGTATCACATCTACCCATTCATGTGTTTTCCAAAGCGATAGTTCCATTCTTCATAAAATCTGTACATATAAGAATTCCGTAACTTATATATTTTTGAGAGCTACTGTGATAAGGAAGACTGTTCCCTGACCATCTTAATAACTGCCTGTAATTGGAGGTACAGAATACTCATGCAATTTCCATATCTAGGTTCAGGTGATTCAAGATGGACATTTTAATGCAGGGCAATGGTTATGACTGTGAAGACTTCACAACAAAATCATTTAGGGCCGGTGGACACAGTTGAGGGGGAGCCTTTAGGTGAGTCACGGTAAACTCTTGGTTGATAAGAAAGCTTTGATCCAAATCTATTCCCATAATAGGAGAGCAATTTGGCAAGAAGGGTAAGTTATTTACCTAGACACACAGTCTAGGGATGTTCTACAACACAGTATGGTATTATTTATTGGATGCAAAGCTTATCTTTCTGGGAATAATTTCCTGAAAATCACAGATGTAGAAGTTCTCATTGCCTCCAGGTAAATTTTTTAGGAAAGCCACATTCTTTATCTTCATCTGGAGCACTTGTGCCCATGGCTTTGCTCCCTGCCCACCATGACCACCTCCCCCACAGTCCTACTTCCCCTCTTCCTGCTGCTAAGCACACTACAAGGCACTCCGTTCTGCAGCAGTTCCATTGTCTCTCCTCACTGAATCTTGTACAATTCCAACTTCCCAAACGTTGTCACTGTCAGCCTGTCCAAGGGCCCCACCCTCTTGCTCTGCACATTGCTCCAGCGTCTTTCTGCTTAGCTTCCACCTCTGCTCACCCTGGGGAGTGGCTGTGGCAGTGAGTGTGGAGTTCCTGTTGGTCGCCTTTGGGATCTGGCCCAGAGATGGTGGAGCACCCATCTAGGCATGGCTGAGCGGATCAGCAAGGCATGACCTGGGGTCTACATCTGATCGCGGGCCCCTCCTACTTTGGAGCTCTTCCTGTGCTCTGGTTCAGGCCACATGAACAAAGTCTTCCAGGCCCTTCCACCATTGTTACAGAGAAAATACCACCATAGCTGAAATATGAAATACTATAGCTCTCATCCTGTTAACTGTATGATACGCCGAGTTCTTGTTCTCTAGAAATCAAAAAATGAGTCCTAGGAACAACAGAGGATAAGAATAGGAAGGTATTTATTTATAGGAAAGCTCCTGAGGGGCAGAACTCAGTAGCCCAGGGAATTCCATTTAACAGAGGAGTTTTACAGAGTAAAACCCATGTGGGTACAATGTGGGCCCCAGCCATGAGCATCCAATAAGGTTACACGTACAGTCACTTAGGTAACGGAGGGCCAGTGGGAAAACAAGTCACGTAACAAGCGTGAATGAAAAGGGCAAAGATTCTCCTGGGAAGTGGTGGGTCCAGAGGTCTCTGGTCAACCCAGGGTGGCTGATGTCCGTCTAGACTTCATTAGGCCCAGGGTTTGTTCTTTGAGGAAGCAGGTAGATCTGGTTATCTTGTGTCCTGGCTTTCAGCCGATGTGTCTCTGGAGCAGCTGTGGTGTGTGTCCCCTTTGTCCTGAGCCTCTCCTGGGCCTGGCCCTATCTGACAGCCTACAATATTTGTACCTTGCTCCTCTGTCTATAATACCATGATTCTACCTTGGAGCAGCCGACCATGGACTGCAACCGTGAGTAAATTAAACCTCTGATCCTGTTACCTG